TGAACAAATTTAAACTTTTTCAAATTATTCAAAATGCAAAACGCTGCGTCTCTAATCAAACCGCTGTAACTTCAGAGGTGATGTTCATTTGTTGATTAATGGTTTTCTTTTGTTTTTGATGTACTGCAGAATATTTTTATAAAATCCCAGAACAGGAAAACCTTCATGTGTTTCTGTGTTTTATCTTCAGCTACTTTGACACAAAGGTCTCGCTGTGACGCTCACACCTTTGATAAAGTCTTGCGTGTGTCAGCTTCCTTTTTATTGATACAAAAATATGTAAATGTACTGATCTGAATTATAATATTTCTGGCTGTCAAAATTTCCCAGATTCAAATCGAATTTAATTTAATTAAATCGGATCGATTCAGGACCTTGTGAATCGGAATTGAATCGATTCTAGAAATCAGTGACGACACCCACCCTAAATATAAAGCACCTTGAGGCGACTGTTATTGTGATTTGGTGCTGTATGAATAAAATTTTATTGAATTTAATTGAATTGCGTATGACCTGAAACCACCTGCGCCTACAAACAGGAAGTCTCCCAAAGACTTCTATAGGACCAGAAAGCTTTGTCAGCGGCAGGTATCGCCCCCTGGTGTCTGTCAAAGAAAATGCAGGTGTGAGGTCCCTGAATGTGACTATAACTAACATCAGACTCAGACAAACTACTGAAGGGAAAGTAAATATGTTTTCACTGTTTAATGTGAAATTATTGCCAGTGTGGTGAACGTGTCACATTTTATCTTACAAAGCTGCTAAAGCTGATTATTGATGACTGCTGGTGGTCACAGTGACGAGGTCATCCGTGATTTATTTACCTCTGAGATCACATCAGTACTGAACACCTGCGTCTCGTCTCAGCTGATGAAATGCTGCTAATGAGCGACTGTCATTTGTTTCATGGTTCGCTGCTCGGTCGCTCGGGTGAGCTGAAACGGTGGAACAAACGTAAGATCTGAAGCTTTCCTGACGGCGTGGCGAGGAGAAGAAGAGCTCCGGCTGAGCGTTTCTCTGTCAGTGACATTTATTGAAGGCAGCCTGCAGCTCTGACACTGTTAAGGCGACTGTGCGCGGAGATGTCGGCGGTTTCGTGAAATGTCAGGAGAGCAGAGTCCTCCTTCTTCTTCTGCACTTTCGTCCTCTCAGACTTTAACCTTTAGGACGAGCTCGGGGCCAAACCTCTAATAACGCTGTTTCTGAAAGGTTAAAGCCATTGCCGATAAAACGGATAAATTATACTTTTTAAGGCTGCTGCAGTTCAGGAAGCTGATGACTCTGAGTTAATTGTGCCCTTTGTTTTGTCTGCTCAGGTGGAATCTGTATCGCTCAGTCCCTGAAGATCCCTCACGACCACAAACCCTCCGACTTCGATAAAATCATCCGCCAGCTGCTGGACACTCGGTACGCCAGGGCGGTCATCCTGTTCGCCTCCGATGAAGACATCAGGTAATAACCCTGCTGAGGTAACGTGCAAAAGTTAAATACGTGACCTGAATCGTCGTCTTCAGCTCAGGATGAAAACGTCAGGACTGTGTTAGTGCCAGCAAACACAATGCTACGTTTTTCCTTTGCTATATTTAATGTATTCAGATGGATTTTTATTGGATGCTCAGCACATCAGGACTCTTCCAGCCGTACCCTCCATCCACTGAGAGGAAGTAAAAATGTTTGGGATAATGAGCACGACCCTGAGGGAGGAGCTTCTGCAGCTGACCCGGGACACGCTGGAGAGGTTACGTCTCTCGGCTGGTTTGGGAACGCCTCGGTGTTCCTCGATGAGCTGGCGGGAGATTAGACTGCCGCCCCGTGACGTGAGCCGTGTTCATGAGTACCCACCATAAAATACTGAGGTTAAGATCAGGCTGAGGAAAACTCGACATCAGTCAGACACTCTGGAAAAGTTCGGTGTCTGCAGACTTCTGTTCCCCTGCGTTTCCACAGTCTTCTTCACTCACTCTCCACCTCTGACTCAGCGTCTCCGTTGATCAGTCGCTCAGATGGAGCTCGTAGTCTTCAGCATCTTTAGGAAAGCCTGAACTAATCAGATAAGGTCCTGTAGGTGCAGCAGGTTGGTGGGTAACGACAGGTTAGGCTCTTTAGTGACCCTGTTGCTCCAGGACAGGTAAACTGATGTGGAAGCTAAAGTGTGGGTGGGGTCTGTGACTGCTTTCTCACGCAGGGGCATCCTGAACGCCAGTAAGCGAGCGGACCAAGTGGGTCATTTCCTGTGGATCGGCTCCGACAGCTGGGGCGCCAAAAACAGTCCCATCCAGCACCTGGAGGACGCCGCGGTGGGAGCCATCACCATCCTGCCGAAGAGGGCCACCATCAGCGGTAAGTCCCTCGCCGCTTATGGTTTCACGTTGCTCGTCTTTATGAGAATATGTGAGTGTAAAGTTCATCAGCTCGCTGCTACATGAAGGAAAGGAGAACTTGGTTTTCTGTCCTCGCCGCTCGCTCTTTTTCCTCCACGTCTGCCTGAATAAGCAGAACTTCAGGAAACTCAATCGCGTCGGGAACGCTCGCAGTCTCACTGGGTTTGCAGTGACACCAGATCGCTCAGGACTCTTTTGATGATGATTATTTTGTCGTCATTATTCTGCTTCTATCAGCACGGAGAGCTTTACTAAAGACCTCTGCTGCTCTTACTTCCTGTCAGACGAATAAAGTTTCACTGCGGCCTGAAAGTCGTGAAAACGTTCTCTGTAATGATTTTAAAGACATGACGACAAACGTGTTGATGCAGAGCTGCAGTCCAAAGACGTTCATGCTTTTGACTTTTATAGAAAGTTTCAAATGTGTTGTGTTGGCATAAAAATGATTTCACTTCCTGTATTTCCTCTGATGTCACAGTGATGATCTTTTGTAAGCCCAATAAAGTCGCCGTCTGCAGGAGGCTGGCTCTAGTTACTCTGTCGCAGTTTGAATTGTTTTATTCTGTCAGTTTGAGACGCTAATAAAAAGTCTCAGGTTTGATGTACACGGACACGCCGCTCACAGTTAACCTTAAACAGCGTATCCAAGGACACGTTTGCTTTTACTCTCCACAGTTTGATTAATTAAAGCTGAATGAAACCTTTAAGCAGACGGTTTGTTTGAGATATAATTAGTGTCACTGAGTCAAAACTAAAACATGTTTGTGTTTCTGTGACTCGCAGGTCACAAAGCGAACTTATTTTGAAAATCCCGACCTCTTCCTTTGTGTCAGAGTGTTTTTCTGAACTCTCTTCAGAGGTGTGACACGCAGAGAAGCGCCGCCATCGTAACCACGCTGAAACCGCAGATCAGAGGAAACGTAACGAGACCGCGGCCGACCTCCTCATCGGCGCTGATGACAGCGTTTAGATTACAGCGCGCGTCGTAACTACAGACGGCGGCGAGTGCGGCTGTCGTGTCAAACACAGATGGTGACGGGGATATACGGCGGCGGGTTGTTGTGCCACTTCAACGCTCTGACTTCAAATAAAGCCTGAGCTCTTTGTTCTTTTGTTCTCGCTGCACTAATACTTCTGTCAGGAGGCGAACGGAAGCAGCGTTTCTGCTCGCGTAACGTCGCTCTGACCTTTTTTCTGCTGCCAAACACGAGCCGGGCAGACTCGGGCTGTCACCTCGGATCTGACGGGAGGTGCTGCGCTCATAAATTCTGCGCTCTGATGACTGATTTATGGAAATGGGGGTTTTCTGAGCATAAAGGCACTCGCAGAGAGCACTGCAGCGTAACGAGGGGCGGGGTGAGTCAGGTTTAAGGGCATCAGACCCATTACACCAGAGGGCACGCCGCGAGGAGCAGGAAGAGATGGGGTGATGGGGAGAAATTTAGCTTTATGATGAGAGTCACAGCCAGATTAACCTTCTGCACAAACCTCATCAGCGGCTGCCTGTGAAGTGTGCTCTGAGAGCAGCGTTTACATCACCCGCGGAGCCTGTGTGTTCGGGCTGAGCTCTGAGGATGACTCAGCCTCACCAATAATACTCAAACTCCGGAGATTATGACTCTCAAAGTCCTTCTACAAGTCTCAGAGCTGGCCTCATTGTTATACTGCGACATTAACTCCAAACGGAGGCATGCAGGCCAGCGTGCATGGATGCACGGTGACGTGTTCACCCTCTCCGGGTTATCCGGGGCTCCGTCAGAATCGGTGCTTTTGTGAGGGCTCTCGCTGGCAGACAGTAAGTCGGGCACTAAGGTCCCGGCAGGGCGTTGAGGTGCAGAGCTCTCGGAGCAGCCAGGCGGCAGAGGGCGCACGCTTCACTGACCTCTTGTCTTTGTTTTTTGCGGATGATTCAATCCTGGTTTCATCGAGCGCTGACCTCCAACTCGTGGCTGGCTCGCAGCTGAGTGGGAATCGGCTGAGGCGGCGGCGGCGGCTCTCGGCTGGAAAAGGCTGGTTTCTGGGTCAGCGATGAGTTTCTGCCTCAAGTGGAAGAGTCCACGTGTCTGAGGGTCGGGAACAGATGGGGTCATCTGATCCCACCTGCACACTGGTGAGTGTCGACTTACTGATCGGCACGCCTGCCCTCACCTGCGGCCCGTGAATAACGCCTCAGTGTGAGGAGCGCCGTCACTCAGGGGGAGTTTAGAGTAGATGCTGCTCCTCTGCATTGAAGGAGACGGCTGCAGGGAGATGCAGGAGGTGCTGAGGAGAGGGAGGTCTGGGCGTCTCAGTTGGACGCGTTGATGCTGCTTCAGGTCCAGCTGCACAGACGTGTAGATCATGGCGTCGCTGCCCGTCTGTCCTCGTCTGTCCTCGTCTGTCCTCGGCTCATCCAGGTAGAACAAACACGGTTTCCTGCCGTCTGTGAGCGACTGAAACATTTAAGTAACGGCGTGCTTGTTCCTGTTTCTGCGCTCTGATAGGTTACGTCTGACGCAGGCCTCTGTCCGACTTATAGACTTGTCCAGACAAATGTGTGCAGTGACAGGAGCCGTCCTCATTTATGCAGACATCGCTTTGCTGCGCACGCTCTCCCTCTGCGGCCTTCCCTGTCACACCGGCTGATATCGCATACATGTTAAAGACACTGAGGCTGATTAGGAATAAATCAAGACCTCATTTCAAATCTGCAGCCAAGTCTGTGTTTCGGATCCCGGACGGAGGAGGTCAGCTTGGCTTTGATTTCTTGTCTTTTCAGGTCTGAGAAAATAAATCCAGCTATTTTCATGTGAAACGTGGCGCTGCGAGCCTGAACACAGCCCTGCTTACTGTGCCCGATAATTGCTGAGACTGAACCCAAGAGAGGAAGCGACACAGAGGGGGGGTGTGGAGAAGAAAAGGCTTTAGTGAAAACACGTCGGGAACAAAGGCGAAGCAGAAGAGAAAGTTGAAGATGGGGTAGAATTAAGCTGCAGGCTGGGAAGTTTCCCCGTGACAGAAGATGCCTGCTGAGTCTGCAGTCTCCAGCCGGGATGGATCCACTTCCCAAACTCAGTTACAGCTTCTAATCCACAAATCTGAGCCTTTTAATGTCACACTGGAAAACTGGCCAAGCCGCCGAGTCTGCAAAAACCTGCAGGTGACGCATTCAGTGTTTCCCACCTGAACAGGTAAAGTTCAGTTCTTATTGCTGTGAACTGACAATTGGGCCTGTTTGCCACCAGACCGTCACTTGGATGTCTGGATCTCAGCAGGGAGGCGGAGTCACGGACAGGAAACGGAGGCTTCAGGGAGTCACTGAACCGAGGAGGCATGAAGCAGCTCTGTGCAGTCCAGGAGACAGAGGTCTAACTGCAAGAGAGGAAATGAAGCAGCGAGGAGCCTCCCTCCAACTCCTCCACCTCCTCCACCCTCCCACTGCTCTCCAGCTCCAGCCTCTTTGTTTGAAGAGCTGCCGGCTCCAGCGTGCCCATGTGTGCGCCAGAGAGAGGAGGATGCGGATTTTAATCTGACTCCATGTTTAAAACATGATCAGCATCCGCCAAGACGGATGTCCTCCCTCACACCGCCAAACGCAGGAAATAACTGCGAGCGCAGCGTCACACAAATGGCGCTTTTGTTGTGATTTGGCGCTATATAAATAAAATTGAATTGAAAACAGAGGCAGGTGTAATATTTGATCAATCGATACTGCAAAGATGAAGTAACTAACACAGAACACGAAGTAAAAGAGCTGTGACGATGCACTTTACAACAGATTTTAGTCTCCGAGGGTCATCATGGCTGAGCTGTTACGTGCATGGTTTTTAGTGTTTAGAGACGGCGATCTTATTTTAGAGATACCTGGGACGCCTCATTATTAGAGGTCCTAATCAGACGCCTGAAACACCTTCACAGCCTCCCTTTGATGTGGAGGAGCAGCAGCTCTTCTCTGAGCACCTCTCGCCCTCTCTAAAGGAGAGGCCAGCCTCCCTCAGAAGCAAACTCACTCTTCTATCCAAGATCTCGTTTTCTGTGAAGATATCAAACATCCAGAAAAATCAAGTCAAGCCAGTGGTACAGTACACAGTGAAGCGAGCCCGCGGTGCTATGACAGACAATAACACAGGACGTGTGCAAGTGTGCAAAAGCTGCAAAAAAACAAAGACGGTGCAGCAGAAACGTGCAGCAACTGAGAACCCGACCACAGCATCACCAGCACTGACAAGAGCTCCTCTGTTCCTACAGAAATAACTCATGTGCATGCTAAAAGTTATTATATCCATATTAAGTGACTGCACTGCACGCTGTTGAGATTAAGCAGGAACTATAATGTGAGTGGGTTGAGCCCAGCCTGACTCTGCAGGGACTGGTCCCACTGCAGGCCGAGTCTGTGGCTGCGCTGCCTCCGTGTCTGTTTCCTGGACTCCTCAGTCAGCGGGATGCTCTGTGGCAGCCCGTCACAGCCCATTCCTGCGGCTTTGCTCGCAGACGAAACACTAATCTGACAAACGGCAAAGAGATGGGAGGAGGAGACGTTTAGCCGCTGACACTGATCAGGCTAAGCATCCTTTCTCCTGCTTCACACCAACATTCGTCTCCAGTCTCTCCACCCACCACACCACCCGCCTGCTGCATTTAGAGAAAATATCCACCTTTTGAATGAACGTTATTATCTGTGTTGCACATGGATATGCATGTGCTAAGACATGCTTTTGTTATTGCAAATGCTCGTCTGGATGCTGCTCATCATGATTTCGTCCCACCAACACTGAAATGAAAGTCAGTTCAGCTGCTACTTTGTTTTACTGGGTCTGATGGGAAACACTGGAGCAGCTTTCAGCAGCTTCCCACCGAGGATGTGGAAACCAGGCCGTGTCTCGCAGTCAGGCTGTAATTGTCCCAACCCACAAATCCACCTGCTTCATGGAGGATTTGGTGGATGGAGCCTCTTGTTGTTGAAAGCAGCTCCACTGACGC